GAAAGGAATGGTGGACAACCCTTTGTCTATTCCTTATTCTATATTTAATCTAATACTAAGGACAGTTGCTGTCTATTAAAGCTGATGAAACTTAGGTGATTTTTACTGCCTTGAAATCTGAGAATTACTAGAAAGACTGAGCAGTAAGTTATGCGATGCTAGATATCTGTATCATATCATATCATATCTTGTGGTTGGGATAATTTGACTTTACATCCAAGTCAAATATCTAAGTTATATAATTCCAGAGATACAACTTGATTTAAAAGTTATATAATTCCACCTTAAAGGACCTTTAAAGAAATATTGTTTTTTCTAAGCAATTTTAGTTTAAAACTATATATTCTCTGTAAAATAAAATTCAAGTAATATCCAGTAAAGAAGAAAGTAAAAAATTTCCAAAATACCCCTTTGCATATATGAGAAATAATGACTAGTAATGTGTTTGCTGATGGGCATTCTTCCTCACCTGTCTATTGTCTATGTATTCTCTCATCCATTTATACAGACACACATACACACACACACACACACACACACACACACACACACAAAGTCAGTTAAAGTTACAATGAAAAAGAAGATGATATTTAAAATAGTAACTCTAAAGGTCTACCTTTATGATTACTATTTTAAATACCACCTTCTTTCTGATTGCATTTTTTAATATCTCCAATGTAATGTGGGTTTTCCTGTTTTGTATCCCTGTTTTCAGTAGGAATAGGCCTAGTGTTTCCAAATTATATAAAATGCTAGGTTGGGGGATGAAATATATATATTATAAAGTCAAGGAAGGAATATCTTTGAATGCTTTCTCACTATTTAAACATTTGAAGTGTGATTTTCTTCCATAGAACTATTAATATGGTGATCAAACCAATGGATTTCCTAATATTAAATCATACTTACAATCTTGAAGTAAAGGTAACTCTTTTTTTAAATGTGCTGTTGGATTCTGTTTGCTAATTTTTATCTCAGAATTTTTGCATTGCTATTCAGAAAATTAACCCATAGTTGTCCATTTTGTGCACTTTTATTTCAGTTTTAGGACCAACAAATAAGAAGTTATTGGTTTAAATGGAAAATTGCCTAATATGTGAAAATAAATGAGAAAATGGCCAACAATAATGATATTCAATACTGGCATAGATGGCAGAGTGAAACTGAGACGATTTTTCCGAGAGTCCTTCAAAAATAAGATATTCATCTATCAAAAATAATGTGTAAACTCTTTCATCAAGATTGGACCCTCACTGAGAATTCCTTTCCATGGATTATTTTTTATCTAATGTAAACTTCAATCTTTTGCCTATGACATATTTTATAGTCATAAGCTATTAAGTCAAGTTGTATCCCTGGTTTTTTTTATGTAAAAAAATGCTACATCTACAAGTACATTCGCAGGCCACAGAATTAGTAAAACAACCAAAATACTTAAACCCTTTATGATTCTCCTTGTTACTCCTGGAGCTCGACATAAAAGTTAGTTCTCATTTTGCTTGGCTCTAATATTAACATTATCATTGTATTGAATTCCATTGTGTGTTGCAAAGCTGAACCTCAAGATGTAGGAATAAATGGCCATAAATTAGAATTATTTGACACGTGTCAATAAAATAACACGGCCAAATACTAAAACACTTCGGCTTCATGCCAAGTCTGAGGTCAGGATTTGTAAGAATGACAGTCCTTTTTCTGGCCTGCTTCTTGCGGTGGCCCCGAGGCTGCAGTAACCAGATGTCTGGTACTTTGCATTTAAAGGTCTCACAGTTTTAGCAGATAAAGCCCCACTTTTTTCTTCTTTAACTCAAAGTCCGATTGTTTCCATTAAAATACACACTTCTTTTTATTAATCGAATTTTTTCTTTTGCCATAAACTATCTTAACAATGAAAAGTAAGAAAATTGTAACTTATTGTATGTTTGAATTAGCCTGTTTAACTAAAGAATCAAAAAATAAATATATTTAATTTTCCCTTATGCTGCTTAGATTGTGTGGTATAAATCAGGAACTGTTTGAAACTTAATTTCCCCACGTAGTATCAGTAATTTGATGGCAAGTTCTTTATCTCCATCATCTCTGAATCTCCAGCCCACTATACACTTAAGGAGTGTGCAATAAATATGCTGAAAGAATAAATAAATGGATGAATCTGGAATTAACATCATTTGCAACCGAGACGCTTAAGAGTTCCTCCACGTGGTGATTTAAAAGCAAAACGAAACCGCCCAAGATTGGCCTGCACTAGTTTGTTGAAAGATTGTTGGCTAAATCTCTATAGGGGGATTTACAGTTGGACCTACTGTCATAGCTAAAGAGAACTGAATCTCATAGGTATTCAGCTATACCTTTAATGGTATGTATGGGGAGATGAGGATCCAAAATGTACCCTTAGTACCATAGCAACTTTATCACTAAGTTCCCTTTATTAAATTTTAAAATTAAATTTTATCGTGGTTATTATGACTTTATCTGAATAACTGGGCTTTATCTGAATAACTCAAAGACTATAGGGGCTCTGTTGCATCTACAATCATCTTTATTTCAGAGAAAAGTAAAACAATGTCCTTTATAAAGTATAGGAAGAAGCTCAAAATACTATCTAAAGGGCAGTTGAATCCCATAATAGTACTATAAAAATGCAGTCAAAAGACAGAGGCCATAAAAGGTCCAGGGCTTCTTAGAGACTTGACTGATTTCGGGTCAGGCACAAGGGATATACAGATGAACCTGGGGCATTGTGTTGTGTCAGATATCAAGAAATCTATTAAACTTTACTGAAGGGTATATCGAAAGGACTCAGGAATCAATTTGAAAAGGCGCCCACTGGCTAAAGATGGGATCGTTTGAGCATCCATAACAGGAAGTGCAGTGCATTGAAACACTTAATATGTTTAAAACCATGACATCACTCTCTCTCTCTCTCACACACACACACACACACACACATATGCGCACACACACACACATACACACACACACACACACACACATCCATCATTACCTTCGTTGGGGTCCTTCAGAATACATTGAGTAAACCATCTCAGTATTTTGAAAACTGGTAATGAAGGAAAATAAAGATTTATCCTGCCTTCCCCATATAAACTGTACCTCAACGTAACCCAATAGTGGATAAAAAGAAGTTTCTCAATATAGAAATTTCCCAGCTAATAAATGAAGAAGAAATGATAGAATTAGACCATTTTATCTTGCCATGACCTGTGAACTAATAAATCTAAGAAATAATTACTAAATGGCAATAAACACCACAAAAGATGAGATAACCAGACACTCACATCTGCTGGTGGAAGTATACAACACTACCTAGGAAGTCATCTTGCAAAAAATTAATTCTGAATCTGATCGAGACATTAGATGGGCTACCAACCTGTCAATTCAAAAAATATATAGACAGGAGACAAAAGAGCATCTTAACTGACATTTTGGGGATGCAGTGACAATGGTGCTTCTCAAAATGTGGTCCCTAGAGCCCCTAAAGTTCCGGGAACTGTTTGTACTTGTCCATGATGAGATTGGAGCTTGTGTCAGAATGTAAGTTAATTACATCACTAAGCACACACTGTAGTTCAGCTGAAGGAAGTTGTATGTAATTGTCATTCCGGGGCAATCTCCTTATTTTATGTAGACCAGTACATTGACTAGGACAGCACTACCATACAAATGACCTTTTGAAATTTGTATAAAATAGAGGAAATGAAAAAGATTAAAAGAGATTTCATAGAAATATCAACTAATTACAATACATTAAGTATATTTTATGCTGATTTAAGTAAACTAATTAAGAGGTGTAAGAAAATTTGGGCATTGAGTATTTAATAATATTAATGGATTGTTAGATTTGTAGACAAGATAAGGGCATTGTGGTTATATTTAATGTTCAGAGACACATTTTGGATATATTATGGATAAAATATATCATTTCATCATGTCTAGGATTTGCTTCAAAATAATATGGAAGGGTGTGGAAAGTGGGTAAGAGGTGTGAAAATAACAGGATTAGACATATGTTAAAGTTGTTTAAGCTGGAGGATAGAAACATGTACTTTTATTACATCATCTTCTTTACTTTTGTATATGTTAAAATATTCCAAAATAAAAGGTTAAAAACTAAAACAAAAACCAAACCAACACATGAACTTCACCACTGTAAGAATAAATAATAAAGAGAGAATTCACAGAAAGTGAGAACTAGAATTAGGACCAAAATAACACTGAGTAATTTTTAAATAGGCAGAAATAGTTTGTCAACACACCTTATTCTGGATGCATACTTACAGTTTTCTTTGCCCCAAACTTTGTTTTTCTAACATTGAAATCCAGCTGTCGTATAAGGACATATGCAAATGTTCCTATAAGCCATGATTATGGGTTGAACTGTGACCCTCAAAAACAGGATAAAGCCCTTCCCTGGTACCTGTTTAAATGTGACCTTATTTGGAAAAAAGAGTCTTTGAAGATGTATTCAAGTTAAGATCAGGCCATTAGGTTGGGCTCTAATCCAAGATGGCTGGTGTCCTAAGGAGAGAGAAATTTGGATACAGAGAAACACAGGGAGAGTATCATGTGGAGGATGAAGACAGAGATTGGAGAGACGCTTCTACAAGAAAAGGGACACTAGGAGCTGGGAAGAGACGTGGAACAGATTCTCCCTCCCAGCCCTCCGAAGGAACCAACCCTGTTGACACCTTGATTTCAGACTTCTATCCGCCCAAACTGTGAGATAATGTTTCCATTGTTTTAAGCCACTTAATTTCTAGCACTTTGTTACAGCCAACCTGAGACACTAGTACACTGGCCGAGCTTAATAAGATTGGTGTCTACATATCTGTACGTTGGGAGAAGCAAGCGAGACAGAGGGTGGTTCGTTGTGGTTTTACATAGTCCTTTGTATCAAAAATCATGTTGTCATTTAAAGTTGCCTGAGTTGTTAACTGTTTTGTTTTCCAAATGACAGCTTTGTGTTTCCTTTTTAATCACAGAGCTTCGAATAGACAGCTACAGTACTTATCACGAAGCAGAAAGAAAAAAACATCCAAAACTTTGACCAAGCAAACGAGCATTTTTCCTGCAAGATAAACCATGACTATCCCCAAAAAACCTCCAAAGTCATTTGGATGAAAACCTAGTTACTTGGTGAATTTTTTAAAAATGTGGTTAACTAATTATGTGGGTATCATCTGGGCCACTGTTTCCCAGTCCTATGTTCTACTAGGTACTTCTAAATTGCCAACTTTTGAAACACACTTTATAATGAAATTTGATTTTGTTTGTGCACACAGATCCATGGAACAGGAGACTTTTTAAAACTATATTCTTTACTACAATTGTGAGGACAAAGGAAGAAAAAGAGGAGAAAGTGGGAAAAGGCATCCAACCAAAAGAAAAAAAGAAAGAGAAAAATTAAAAGAGAAAAGTTTAGAATGGGTGGCAGATAACTTATTCTCTGCTTGGTCTCATCTACCATTAATACAGGTTTGCTTCTTGGGGAATAGATTTGATGTCTTACTATGCCTGCAGTACATTCTCCAGAATGACTGAGAAGTTATTTCTGTGAGCCAGCTAGGACCTAAGTATTGGTCCGATAAAACAGATCTTTTTCCTTTACAAAATGATAGTACAAGAGAAAGAGCATGAAGCCATCAGTCCCGAGGAACTGAAGACTCAAGTTTTCCTAGAAAAGAATGCCAGGGAATGAAACTCAACCCCAAATAAGTTTATCCGCTGTTCACAGTCTTAAGTTTTGTTGGCAGTTCCTAACTCTTGGCACCATTCAAAGTTTCATCAGTGGTGAGACAGCTCATTGCTACCCTCTCAACGCCTTCTTCTGAGTGCAACGTATGGTACTTTCCTGCTGCCTTCTAGCAGCTGCTATCATGTTCCCCATGAAGTCTTCTAAGTTCTTCAGAGCTGCACCAGGGAACTAGACCTAGGTATGGAAAAACATTGTCATCTCCAAGATGCTCCTGAGCGCTTTAATGCCAGAAGCCTGATGTTTAACCGAACAACTTCCCGAAATATCCTAAGGCTACAGAGTATCCACAGTCACTCATTCAAGGACAGGTGGGGAGTGAGAGGTGTGTATATTTAAGAACACATGTGAATTGGAACATGCTGTTATTTATCTCTTTTTTCTTTCTTTTTTTTTTGTGCTATCAACAGTTTTAGTCACCATAAAACTACAGGTCAAGCCATGGTTCAGCATACTCTCTTGGAAATAAAAAACAAGACAAGTCTAGTGGCTAATACAATTTTTCAAGTATGTCTATAATTTTTTTAACTTTTTATTTTACATTGGAGTATAGCTGATTTACAATGTTGTGTTAGTTTCAGGTGTACAGCAAAGTGATTCAGTTATACATATACATGTCTCTATTCTTTTTCAAATTCTTCTCCCAACTAGGTTGTTACAGAATATTGAGCAGAGTTCCCTGCGCTATACAGAGGTCCTTGTTGGTTATCCACTTTAAATATAGCAGTGTGTACACGTCAAGCCCATGTGAATTGGAACATGCTGTTATTTCTTAAAGAAATAGAAAATATTTCAGCTCAAACACTTTCCAAAAGAAGATCAGGGATAATAAAGTTTGACTCAAAAATATGATGCGTGTGTCCATCTTCAGTTTCATGTTTTTTTCAAGTTAGTGTTGGAGAAGAGATGAGATGGGATGAGAAGGAAAGGGAAAGCATTGAATGACCAAGAAAGATAAAGGAGAGTGGAGAGAAAGAAATCAAGAGAGGATACAGAAAAGGGGAGAAATGGAGAACAAAGGAGGAAAGAATCGGCTCAGTACGTTTTGAGGTGCTACTTGATTTATTTGGGTTACAGAGAGTTATCTGATCTTCTGCAATGTTAATTAACTGATTCGTCATTGCCCACAACTTTTACTTCTTAACCTTAAAACCAAGGTTCTCAGTTCTGAGTACACATTGCAACCACATGGAATTTTTAAAAATACCCATGCCTGGATCTCACCCCAGAGATTCTTTTTTATTTGATCCTGGTACAGCCTGCAATTGTGGTTTTTAAAAGCTCCCCCAGACAAGTCCAATGTGTAGCCAAGGTTGAAGTTACTGCCACGAAGCTCCCATGACTGACAAAATCAGAGCACTCTCTTCCAAAATAAGGAACAAACAGCACCCCCAGAACTGTGGGATCCAATCATACTTTAGATCAGCGATTCTCAAAACAAGATGTGCAGCAACGTCCCTGTGAAACTTTTGATGAATATCGATTTCTGACCCCCATATCAGTGATTCTGATTCAGTAGGTTTGAGGTTTTGCCTGAGCATGTGTGTTTTGAAAAACCTTCACAGGTAACTTTGAGTAAAACAAGTATATAAAATCACTGACTTAAATACGTAAACTTCAATTCATTCAGACGTTGAGATTCAGGAAAGTATTAGAAAAAGAGATGATCAGACAGATACGTTTGCTAAGGCTGCCTTAATAAAGTACTACAACTTAAACAACAGAGACGTTATTTCACAGTTCTAGAGGCTGGAAGTCCAAGATCACGGTGTCAGTCTGACTGGTTCCTTTTGAGGGTGGTGAGGGGCAATCTCTCCCCCACCTCTCTCCTAGATTTTGGTGGTTTGCTGGCAATTTTGGGGATTCCTTGGCTTGTAGATGTCTGCCTTTATCATCTCATAATGTTTTCCTTGTGTACATGTCTTTGTCCAAATTTCCTCTTTTCATAAGAACACCAGTTATATGGGATTGGGCCCCTCTCAAATCTAATTCCATAAAGTTCCTATCTCTAAATAAGGTCATGCTCTGAGGCACTGTGGGTTAGGATTTCAGCATGAATTTTGAAAGGATACAATTCAACCGGTAGCATTAGATGCGTTGTTTTTCTCCAAAAATACATTGGCATTGGTCATACCTGCATTGTCAATTCTCAAGGCATTAGGATTCAATAAAATGTAAGTAATGTAAATTATCCCGAACCTAACATAAATCCTATTTAAAATCTTAAAGACTTTAGAAATCGGATTCTGTAGTTCATTCATTGACCATTCTAGTCAGATAAAAGTGCATTTAAGACATTTTACAATTGCTTCTCTGTTTGCAAAACATCCATGAGGAATTGATAGCACACTAAATTTTAAGAAAGCACTGGCTTAGGGACATTTTAAAACCAAGATGATGGTGAGAGAATAGTGTCATCTTATGCTAAAAATATCAAGTTTTCCCCAATAAAAAGATTTCTATTGCCCATGAGTTCTTGTCCAGCCTTGAGACAAATTTTGTAGAGAAATCTGTCATTCTGAGGGTAAGGTATTCTTTGTGATTCTTCAGTTATCAAGCTCATTTGGGCTCATATTTTCTTTATTGTTTCTCTTTTTTTGACAGCTGTATGTCAGGTTCTTGGGCATATATGGTCATTTGAGACAGTGAGATTCGACCTCAATATTCAGCAAACCACCTAGTTGACTAAATTGATCCTTTTAAAATAATATAGAACGTTCTCCTTTTCATGCTACAATTTCTAACTAGAATTTTTATCTTTTGCAAAAAAAATTGAGAACCTGTCAACTTGTCTAACTAGTATAAAGTCTGAATAAAGTTATTCAAAACTGTTTCAGCATACCAGTGTTCCATGATTTTTCAGTGGAAAATTAGAAAATAACATCACTTTATCAGCACAGAGGAGAATCTAGTTCTAGCATGTTCAAATGTAGACAAATCAGTTGAATCTGAGAATTCAACAAATGAAGAAACACTGAAAGTGCTTCTACTTTATCACGGCTCTGGGAGAGAAGGAGAGCTAGGGGAGAAATAACAGATGAAATTAAGGTAAGAACTAGTTTCATGGAAGTTTCACCAAGAACGGTCATCATTTGCTCATGTGGGAAAGGCTGTTAGAACAAAAGGCCTTAGAAAAGAAGAAATGAACACACAAGCCAAAACACTAAACAGTGGGATTTGGCTTTGTTCTGTTTTTTTGTTTGTTTTTTTGCAATTTCTCTTTGGGGACTTTGCTTTAAGGTAGAGTTCTGTGTTAAGTATTTTGCCTCCCTAAACTGATTCCATATTTTGTAAGACAGGGAACAAGGGGTGCGTGTGTGTGTGTGTGTGTGTGTCTGTGTGTGTGTATGTGTGTGTGTATGTGTGTCTGTCTGTGTGTGTGTCTGTGTGTGTGTGTGTCTGTGTGTGTGTGTCTGTGTGTGTGTGTCTGTGTGTGTGTGTGATTGTTGGACTGTGTGAATATTGCCTTTCTCTGATCTACAAAGGCAGCATAGTTTATATGCACATATTTTCCACCTAGAGAGACGCGAAGCCAGAACTGAGGGAAAATTTTGGCTGAGAAGCTCAGGAGGAATGTGGCAAGCAAACAGAATAAGGTTAGTTGAAGGTTAAGCTGCGTTGTATTGATGTAGTAATGTTGTCTTTAGAACAAATTAGCTCCCTGGGACTTGGTGACACAGTGGAGTGTTAAACCCTTCTTTACAAAAAGAACATGTGCAGGTTGTTTCTGGCTTGAAAAGTGCCAGTGAAAAATTACACAAAGATCAAGCTTGAAAAATGTTTACTTTGCAGAAAATCGTTTAAAAATGGAATCTCAATTTTGTTGGCAGCTCAGTTTTTTAAAAGGGCTATTTATTCTAGAGTCCTGCTGCTTATGGTTTATGGCCATTTATAAGGTGTATTGAAACTGCATGAACTCGAGCACCTTAGGGAATGTTTGTTTTTATTTTTTTTTAAAGTGGTTGGACTGAGATTCAGTATGAATCACATAAGAGAGATTTAGAAGCACACGAAGATAAATGTTTCCCGTGTGACACTGAACAGCACATCTGGAAGGTGATCTTATGTAAATACCTGAAAAGACCATAGTTTTAACAGATATCAATAAAGAATAGGGTTGCATTTCCCCCTTAATTTGAGAAGAAAATACGGTTTTTATATTTTAAAAAAATAGTATCTTCTCATGCAAATTTCTGGAAGCTCCATTTGTGTAGAAATAGTCCTACAATTTACTCTTTCACTCAGTAATTCACTTACTCAATTGCCCAACAAACATTACTGAATATCTATCTGTTATAGTTGCTAATCTGCCACACTCTATAGATAAAAAAGGAGTAAGACACACTACTGGCCATAAAATATTTCTTACGTTAGTCATTAATAAGCTTTTTTAAACATGTGACTTTCATGCACATCAACTGATTTATATGTATTAAGATCCTACTATAACATAAAGAATTATCTCCAACCCCTACCCTGTCTGGTGAAGAATTTCTCTTTTCTCTTTCGCATTATTTAAAAAAATTTTACACTTACTTTCTCCCTGTTGCCAGGAGCATCTCAATATCACTTGGTAATCCTTAAAATGTAGTTTTTACTCCTGTTAAAAAAAAGAAAATATCCATCAAGTGAAATATAGTTTCAAGTTTAAACCAAAGAATCTTCCCGTTTGTTCCTTCCTAATTTTTTTTTCTTTTAAAGATTATTTTTAGAGCAGTCTTAGTTCACGACAAAATTGAGAGAAAGGTATAGAGAATTGCCCATATACCCCCTGCCCTACACATGCACAGCCTCCCCCATTGTCAACATCACCCAGCAGGACAGTACATTTGTGACCAAGGATGCACCTATATTGACACGTCATAATCAACCTGAGTCAGCAGTTCACCTTAAAGTTCGCTCTTGGCATTGTACGTTCTAGGGGCTTGGACAAATGTATAAGGACATATTTCCATCATTATAATATTATGCAGAGTTTTGTTTTGTTTTGATTTTTTTTGTGGTATGTGGGCCTCTCACAGTTGTGGCCTCTCCCGTTGCGGAGCACAGGCTCCGGACGCGCAGGCTCAGCGGCCATGGCTCACGGGCCCAGCCGCTCCGCGGCATGTGGGATCTTCCCGGACCGGGGCACGAACCCATGTCCCCTGCATCGGCAGGCGGACTCTCAACCACTGCGCCACCAGGGAAGCCCTATGCAGAGTCTTTTCACTGCCCCCCAAATCCTCTGTGTGTCTCCCATTCGTCCCTCCCTGCAATCCCACCCCTGGCAACCACTGATCTTCTTAGTGTCTCTATGTATCAAAGGAAAGGGCTTCTGTGCTGGTGAGTTAAATATTATCTTTATTTACTCTTAACCTCAACCCTTCAAGGTAGTTTTATTAGCCAAGATAGGCTGGATGCAGTTTCTAGCCCACCCAATATCC